CAGCAGGGAGACAGAGAGTAATGCTAGAGGAGAATGGAGAAGTCTCCTAAAGAAGGAGGATTTTATTTTGATACAGAAATAAAAGGATCAGGAAATTAAACTAGCAAATCGCAGTTTGAAGTCAAGAGGGAGGCACCACTGCAGGGCAGAGAGCTGGTGTAGGTGACTCCCTGCCACCAGCTGCTGTGGATCTTCAAAGTGGTACCTGTTCAAAGCACCAGTTGGACAAGTCACTGAAAGAGGAGTTCATTGGGGACTGCTAAGCGCAAAGATTGTTGTCCTGGCAAACAAGGAAGTCCTCAAACCAGCAGATGCCAAAATCTGTAGGGGCAGGTGGAAGAAATGTCACTGCATGCCTGCTCTGCTCTTGCTGCTCAGAAATAAGATGCTGAGCTGGGTGGGAATTTTTTTTTTGCCTGGTTCTTAGGCCACAGTGCCTTCTGATTTTTGTCCTTTTGGGTACCTGCTGGGAAAGCCTGCAAACAGTGAGAGCACTTGCTGATTGTTTGCAGTGTCATGCCTGTGTGCGTGGTTCTGCTGAGCAGGTTGGCAGTGTCAGGGTGTGGAGGTTAAGCAGTGCTGCTGGGAGACCTGAGACAGGTGTAGACCTGGATACCCTTCAAGTGAAAAGGGGAGCAGGGAAACAGCAGCTTTTCAAAGAAATTGTAACCACTCCTACCTTAACATTGTTCTGTGCTGTCTTTGTGGGTTTCTCTCTGGGCCACCTAAAGCCATCTCCACAGAACCTTTTCTTTAAAGCTCTAGAAATGAAGACATGCTGTTTGCTCAGTGCTTGTCTGACAGCTGCCTCCAGTTACTTGTAAGCTTCTACAAAAAAACAAGTGGCAACCCCTGAGAGTTGTTATTTCAGGGAATAGGCAGTAACTAGAACTTCCCTCGGAGGAAATCCACATTCCTGTAACTATTCTTCTCTTTGGCCAATTGCCATTGATCTGTTCAATCTCAAGACATTTTCTTTTGATACAGAAATAAAAGGATCAGGAAATTAAACTAGCAAATGGCAGGCTCCCCTGTGAGCATGGATTGTTATGGAAGTGTCTCCTCCTGGACTGCTTTTTACACATTGTCCTTGCAAACCCTTAGAAGCCCTGAGATCACACTTAAGTCCTTGGATAGCTACACCCCCTGTGGTTTGGATACAAGTGTTTGTTCAGCTGTAACATTATGGGGTGGTGAATAGGAAGCTTCATTCTTTGTGTTGTGCTTTACCTCCTGCCACCTCTTGCTTTTTCCTGGTAGTACATCTAACATGGCATTGGGAGTAGCCTCATAGTGCCCAAGAGCATCTTTAGCTTTACCTTTTTACACTGCAGACCAATGAACACCAGTTTGAATCTCTGGATGGTTGTATATTTCAGTCCTGCCCCTTTCCTCCTTGAAGATGGGAGCTGGTAGGACACTGATAAAGGGAGAAATAGGTTCCATGCTTCTACCAAGAGCTACAGAAACAGTATGTCATGGAAGTGGTTTCTGCTTTCAGTACTTTGTCCCCAAAAAGAAGAGGGCCCAGTTTCCTGTCCTAGAAGTGCAGAGGCTGAATCTTTGTTCCCGTTCAGAGTCACACATTGTTGGTTACTTCTGTCTTCTCCAGACATATTCCCCATTTCCAGCACTGTGCTCCACTTTCCCTGATGTTGATGCTTATTAAAAAATCTCCCTGTTTAAAGCTGCTGTGCACACGGTCCCTGAAAGAGTCTTTTGTCCGTGCCATAGTCCTTCATGAGGTGTGTGCACTCTGGTCTTTCCTGCAAGAACCACGAGTCAATTGCAGCATGTTAGTGTGCAGGATACTTCTTGCTCATCCTGGTCAGAGAGCAGTTGAAGTTTGGAAGCAGTGGCATCTCTGCAGAGTAACTCCCCTTGTTCTTCATCTATCAGGAATCTCCACCAGGGTGTGGCGAGTCCCCTCAGCAGGCAGTTTGAGTTAACCATGGTGGGTGCTGACAGACTCCATTCTCACACCTATATTCTACGATGGAGTTTCCCTGTTTCCACCAACCCTCCAGAGCAGGTACTGATCCTGGGCTCCTCTAGATATTGTCCTCTTCATTCCCTAGTCTGCAGTCCAGGTTTTGTACCTTTCTCTGTCCCTTGCAGCCTGAGAACAGGTAGGAGTATCAGCCTTAGTGGAAGCTGAGAGTTCCTTTTAGCTTGATGTTTGTGCCATTTGTCCCTTTTGTTTTGGTTGCTGACCACTCTACTGGCTTGTGCTGCCAGAAACGTAAGAAAATAAAGGTGGTTGCTTAGGAATGCAGCAAGCCCTTGGTCCAGTCAGGATTTCCCTCTTTCAAACCAGTTTGGAGACCTCCATCTGGTCTTGACTCTCAAAAGCATCTTTCCCATCACTCTGTCAGCTCCACGTGACAGGAACCTGTTGCTGTCCCCTCCCTCTTACCAAGACCCACAAGCTCACAGCCCTGCAACCTCCCCTGTTTAAAATGCCAGCCCTGTCTTATCACAGAACCATCATGGTTGGAAGGGACCTCTGACATCACAGAGTCCAACCATCAGCACAAAAAAACCAAAAAAAGCCAAACACACAACACACCACTCAAACCCCACACACACACCAAACCCCCAAACAAACACAAGTACCACAGACACTCCACCAAATAACACCCACTCAAAAAAAAAAAACAACCCTACAGTCTCTGTCACTAGAACATGCTCTGAAGTTCCAGATTGACGTGTTCCTTGAATACCTCCAAGGATGGTGGCTCAACCACCTCCCTGGGCAGGCTGTCCCAGTGCCTGACCACTCTTTTCAGTAAAGAAATTCTTCCTAATATCCAATCTAAACCTCCCTTGTGCAGTTTCAGGCCATTTCCTCTCATCCTGACATTATTCACTTGGGAGAAGTCTTAACATCTTCTTTCAGGTAGTTATAGAAGGCACTGAGGGCTCCCTCGTATCAGTGCTCCCAGCCTCGTGTTTCTTGAGCCCTGGTTGGAGGTGCAGGTGGTTACTTTGGATAGAAGGGAGTGCATGGAGCCAAGCTGAGAACCAGGAGCTGTGGCTGCACAGAGCAGCAAGGTCACCAGTCAGACTGACACAGCTCTTTATATGCTCTTTATATGCTTATATTTTGCACGTTTGAATTCAAGCCACAGTAGAACAGTTCTCTCTCCCAGAAATCGCTGTTCTTACTTTCAGGGCAAACTGGGAAGACTCAAGTACCTGTTGCAGAAGTTCTCCATTCCCTCTCCCATTTCCTTTT